ACATGTTGCCACAGTTTAAGTCATAAGGTTCCGTAGCGACTCTGCATCTCAGCCTTGAACGGGCATCTCAGTCTTGGCGGGAACTGTTCAACCCATCCAAATGCAAGCATGAGACTTTGGGAAACACTTGTTATCGCCGAATTCAGTTTTTGCTGCTGCTTTGGCACGCGCTGGTACCAAAGGTTGAGCAAAAAAAGTTACAGAATTGAGTTTCTGATTTGCATGTCATAGCCGCAACAAAATACAATCAGCGTGTCTGTGGCTATCTTATCACATCATCAAAGCAATTCTATTTTGCAATTTTCCTCTAATGAAATACCTTCTGATATAGGAAGGGATTCACAGAAAAGCTGCAGCACCTTTACGATCGTAATTTCATTGTAAGTAATACAGTTGCAATCATGGACCATCTCCCATTCCGCGATTACTGCAGACCATCAACAAAGGATACCATTCATCGTATATCTCTCTTCTGTCAACCAATTAGTTTTGATTAAATAGTTGATTAGTTTTCATATTTCAAAATTTCAAAATTTCCTAAGCCCTCTCGGGCACCTCCTCCCGAGAATGGATCGCGAGATTTTTGAAAGCTACTCGTATAATTTATAAAATTGTGCAAGCGACTTGTTTATACTTGTAAATCTTATATCTAAAGCTGAATGTCTGTTTGTCTGTCTGTCTGTATGTATGTATGTCTGTGTGTACGTATGTTCCGAATAGAAAATTCCATTTCTGAACCGATCCGAACCAAACTGGGCACACATACACTTCGGGCCCCGGCGGGTGTCATAGGCTACTTTTCGTCGTCGATCGATATCGATTTTATCGATTTTTTGCAAAATTTGAGCTACGGGGCTGGGAGTTGGTACAGGGGGGTAATCGAGCATGCTGATTACGAATAAAATAATGACAGGGCCGGGCGGAGCCGGGTAAGCCATCTAGTAATTAATATAACATTCAAAAATTTTCAAAAATTCAATTCAGCCTTGTGAAAAAATACGCCTCCTTTTCCTAAAATCATGGGGTTATGGGCCCGCAAAAATTTCAGGGCATAAAAGCGGTCGACACAAACCTGAAGCTTCCGTGCGTGCGGCAAATAGTCAAGGTGCCATCAAAGCGGCAGGCAGTTTACCGGCTGGCAATACATTTGCTCGAGCACGCGATCAACAATGTGTCCGTCTGATCGGTCGGCAATACCGGTCGTCTTGTAAGCAGCCAACAGTGACCTTTGTCGTCTCCCCATAATCCTCATACATTGTGAGTACAAACTGTACTTGCGTGGGATACAACGCAGTGTCTTGGCTGCCCTTAGCGATGTCAGTGGAATGATCAACAGTCCTTGACCAGCAAGGCTCGGTTGAGTATGTGACAGTTTATGATTTAGTTATCAAAAGTGACGCGGGCTTCCTTATATAGGGTTTGGACACTGTTGCAGAATTGTCCCCAGAATGTGAACAGGACTAAGATAATTCAAATAAAATTGGTTGAGATATCTAATTTAAGATATTCAATTCCAACAGCAAGCGAGCGGGCGACCTTCGCCGCACAAGTGGCGAGTATTATTAACCGTGCGCGCCACGTCGCCTGTACGATGGGCTTTTGACGACCGTACAACTGCACACACCGACGATATTTGAAAGGTCTTTGCTGGCCGCCCATACGGCGCGAGCTCGTGAGGTTAAACGGCTCGGCAGATTTCCAACTTCGGGGTTTTGGCAGATTTGGGGCTATTCCGGCTTCCGAAACCACGACATGAACTCCCCTTAGCGCGAAAATGGGGAAAACCCCGTCTTTTGATACCCCCCCCCCCTTGAGATGGGCGCGGACGAGTGAGCCGTTTTTCTCTGCCGTCAGAGACACAGAGTAAGGAGGTAGAGAACGCTAGAACAATTGTGCCCTACGAATCTACGAGTGACGGCGCGTTTTCTAGCGGAGAACACACTCGTCCGAATAAGGTGTTAGGGGAGCGAAAGGAGGAAGGGGAGCGGCTGTTGGGCCGCCTCCCTGGCTTGCATTTTCGGCGCGCAGTTGTTGTTTTGGTTCACTTGAAGAGCCTCCTATCTATCTGCGTCAAAATCTGAGGTAGTTTCATTCTGCCGAGACGCTGCCTTTAATACGGTGCTGGGGTTCAGTTACGGAGCGAATATCTCATTCGAACTGTCTGGAAGGAGTTATGAGCGTCTAGATGTGCGATTGTAAAGTGTTCTGAGCAGGGCTCGGCGCAGGTGGCTTACAAGCAAGCTGGATATCGTTTTTGGGACAAAAAGCAAAAGGGGTTTCGTTTTTGTGGCCGAAAAGACAAAGCTTGCGACTTTTTTTTAGTCGACGTTTCGTTTTTTTGGAGAATTTTTAGGGTCAAAGGGTACTTCGTAAAAATTCCCAAAAGTCAAGTGGGACTTCGTTTTTTGCATTTTTATCTAGCCACCTCGTGCAGAGCCCTGGTTCTGAGGCGCATGTTCCACGAAATACGTTTTAAAAACAGTTTAGGTTTTTAGTGAATGTGCTTTTTCCCTGTAATCAAATTAACCACAGCCACTGTAAATCCGCGCTATCAGGCTGCTTTCAAACATATTCGTCAAAACACGAAGATCTCTCGTATTTGAACACTCATAATTCCTTTTAGATAGTCGCTCGGCAGGTAATAAACCCATATTTGAAACCAGCGTTTTAAGATAAATCCGATGATATACAGCTTCTTTGGAATGGCTGGGTTAGGTTCTGGCCATTTCCTCGTACTCAAAATTACTGTCCATGTGAGACCCCATATGTACAGATTTGCCTGAACGCTGCAATGAAAGACAGGGCTCGGCAGGTGGCTTACAAGCAAGCTAGATATCGTCTTTGGGACAAAAAGCAAAAGGGGTTTCGTTTTTGTGACTGAAAAAACAAAGCTTGCAGCTCTTTTTTTAGTCGACGTTTCGTTTTTCGGAGATTTTTTAGGGATTATGGTCAGGGTCAAAGGGAACCTCGTAGAAATTGGCAAAAGTCAAGGGGAACTTCGTTTGTTGCATTTTCAACTAGCCACCTCGTGCCGAGCCCTGATGAAAGAAAAGAAATTGGACTCGAAGCCAGAAAAGGAAAAAAGTGTATGTCTCTATTTGCAGTAACTATAGGAGTAGAGGTCTACATGATCTTCAGCCACTGCGTGTGATGTGAATAAATGACTAATGACTTTATATCAGGTCGGTCCTGCCCGTGCCGTTTTTCGGACCTATCTCAAAACCGTTCAGAATGATGATAGGCAAATGCTTCAAACAGTAATGCAGAAAATCTTCCTCTTTCTAGCGGTGTCTCTTTGTTAGCTCGATTTTCTTTCTAAGGGAAGTCCATTTGATCGAAATGACTTTTTTATGTTCGGAAATAGCTTAGATTGTGACGTGGCCAATTGCGCGCGCAAAATGCCAGCAATACTGACGTGGCTATGTGTTCACGCGCAAATTACACCGTATTTCATCTTCTGTGCAAGCACACTATATTAAGCGGAAAATCTACTTGACTGTACATATGCTCCGCATAGAAATTTATAATTTTGGACCGATCTGGACCAAATTTGGCACACATACATTTTGAGAGGGGATAGGCGGTGTCGTAGGCTACCTTTCGTCATTGATCGATATTTATTTTATCGAATTCTATCGATTTCTTTATAAAATTTCACCTATGAGTAGGCAGAGGGGTGCGCTGATTACGAAAGTAATACTGACAGGGTTGGGCGGAGGCGGATTGGCCAGGTAGTCACTGCTAAAAAGAGGAAGAAATTCTTCATGGAACACTGTTCAGCATTTGGTTCACTCCTAAGAACAATTCTAAGATAGGTCTCAAAAACGGCTTTTGGAGCGACTTAGTATCTTACTCAGACAATCGACCGGACCCCTCCGCCGGACAGTCCGAAACTGCCAGAGTCGCGCCGGACCCAGTTGACCAATGAGAGAAAGGCAAATGGGCGATCCGTCGCGGTGACATCACTGGCAGGCAAGTGGGAGGCTTCTCCGGCCCTGCTGCAAAGGTACGCCATTTCTCCGGCGCGACTCTGCCAGATTTGGCGGACTCGCGCCGGAGAAATTTGCCCGGCGCGAGTCCGCCAGATTTGAAAGAGCCGCGCCGGAGAAAATCGGAGGTATCCGGAGCAGAAAATGGGAGGTATCCGGAGCAGAAAATGGGAGGTATCCGGAACAGAAAATGGGAGGTATCCGGAGCAGAAAATGGGAGGTCTCCGGAGCAGAAATGGGAGGTCTCCGGAGCAGAAATGGGAGGGCTCCGCCGGACAAATGGGAGACCCACCGCTGGGGAAACGCCGCGACCCTGCCATTTCTCCGGCGGAGGGGTCCTATCCAGGGCCCGGCACGCGTTGGTTTGAGGTCAAACTGGACTTCGTTTTTGAGTGTGAAAGCAAAGGGGACTTCGTTTTTATGGGGTTCTGGAGGAAGCGCCAAAAAAACACGACGAACATGTCAGGTTTCACGAGTTGAACGTGTTCTTTCGCAAGCGCGCGAATTTCAAATGCAAGACCAAAACAAACAAATGACTTGTTTACAACGCACAAACAACCTTATGACCCCAAATTTGGGCTATGTGCATACAATATTACTCCAAACTATGTTATGTAAAGAGTTCCAAAAACTTATGTGTCTGAATATTCGTTCCGGATTTGTTGGTTTCAAAACCAACCACCGAACCAACTGGGTTGGTTCGGAGCATAAATTTCGGAGAGTTCACATAAGTTTTGGACCTTTTTGATTTGGACGATTAAAACGCTTGAAAATCTATTATATGGTGAAGAGAGCAAATCAAACCATGGCCTCTGCTCTTTTTACGAGCCAAATATAGTATGAAAATAGAGGCTTTGATAGATATGACGCTCCAATCACATGTGTGTCAGGGCGCCCTTTGAAGTGGCGCCGATTGCATCGTTTCATTTTTTTGTCTCGTCCTGTGCTCATCTTCGTCTTTTTATCTTTCTGTCTCTTTTCTTTTTCGTTGTTTTAATTTCCTTTCGTTACAGGATATGCCAGCGGTGAACGTGAAACAAATGAAGGGCAAGAACCACGGACGGGACGCCGAGAGCCAGCCAAGGTGGGTTTTTGGTTCCAAACATTATTATGATTGATTTACGAGATTCGATTCATTTATTTTTATTGATCAATTTATATCCTTCTTTCGTTTTAACAAATTAAGTTGATGAAAATCTAGCTTAGCTTGCTATTCCAAAGTGGCCGGCAGAATTTACGCGATTTGCGATTCGCGATTGAACGCGACATGAAAACTGTAACAATATCATTGCATGCCGATCTTCTTGCATTTCGGTTGTGATAGTTTTCCAACATGACTAATCGTGACTAACTATCACAACCGAGATACAAGAAGATCGGCGTGCAATGAACTCGTAATACTTGTTTGTAGCGGTTGAATTGCGATCAAATCGCGTGAAGTCTGCGCGAGGCCTTGAGGGCCGGGCATACTTCACGCGATTTTGCAACCAACTGTCCATAACTCACTAAGCACATTTTGAATGTACAGGAGGTGGGGCATTTCACAATCCGTGTAAGTTATACACACAAAAGTGAGTTGAATTTGCGATGGATGCGCGATGGTAAATCGTTGGCTCTGCCCGGAGGAGCTCCCCCCTCCCCCTCGCCTATATGCTTTGATTGTCCATTGCTTTTGAGACAGCTGGCTCCATTAGTCCACTCAAATCCAGCTCCATTACTTTCAGTTTAGGTCACATGCAGTGTTTTCGTTCCAATGCAGAGTTTATGAGGTTACGCATAAAAATAAGTGTGAGAATAATATTGTGAAAATGTCTAGTTGCCAAAAAAACCTGGAAAATTTTGCCGCAATGGAATTTTTTTTACTTCAGCTGCTGTTTAAGTTATTTAGTTGTAGATTTCGTAAAGATCATCGCCTTTTTTTCGTCGAGTACATTCAAACTTTGTACTTTCATTTTGCAAGTTTCTTTGTATCACTCTGATTATAAAATGTTAACCGAGAGTAATTTACTGCTTGAAAAAAAAACTTCCTACAAATTTTTGGTTTCTTCAAAGTTGTTATGGTAAGAACTGTTCGCGAAGAAGTTGCCATGAAGTTGCTGAAGTTGCTACGATAGTGCTAGAGTTGCAAAGACTTATTGTGGTGGTGCTACACTTGCTCAACTCTATGGTTGCTTGCGCAATTGATAGTGCTAAAACAGTTCCTGCTGTAACCTTGTCATAGTCGCTGCAACTCCAAGAAACGATTAGCAACTTTTTTATGTTGCTGCATTTCACAGCGCGATCGTGATCGAGTGTCTGCCAAGTTGCGTAATAGTTTTATTCTCTGTTACGGTATATCACTACTGTGATGTACTGTCATTAAGGCGCCCGCCACACTTGATCCGCTTGATCCGCTTCGTGCAAAACGCGCATAAGCAGTTTGTCATTTGGCGTCGCGTACAGCCAAATTGCGTAACCATATGAAATTCCTTTTTACCTACGCGACGCCAAGTTACAAACTGCTTATGCGCGCGTTTTGTACGAAGCGCATCAAGTGGATTAAGCGGATCAAGAGGATCAAGTATGGCGGGTGCCTGAGAGATACTGTCACCATTGTTAACACGTTTCGGACCGGTGCTGCACATGGTGCAGCACCCTGCTTTGAAGGATCTTTTTCTTTTTTTCTTTTGATTCTTGTTCCTATCTTTCAGGAAAGCATAGAAGTTCTTCACAAACGGCAGAATTTAATCACTTCGAACTTCGGGTATGGAACTTATCCGACAGGCTGATTATAGATGTAGCACAAATTCTACGAAATAAGGTCACTTTGTTGGCTAATGGCTGGAAATGCAACATTTATACTAGAAATTGCGGCTAAGATGCTGATCTTATCGAAATAATTTTATGAAGTGGTAAGTTGTAGGCACGAAAATTCGTTTTGTAAGTAATTTCTTTCACAATCAATGTCAGATTTGTCACGAAGTCATGCGCCGTTTCTATTGAGATGAGTCATTCAAGTTTCGATAGGAAATCAAATGACACCGCATGAGGCTGCTACCACATCTCAGACCAAATCTAGTGTTTACATCTGGATAAGTCTGCGGGTAAGAGGCTTTATAATAAAGTTAAAAACGCTGTTTCTTTATTATAGAGATCCCAACTACATTTGCTGCGTCTAACCAGCCGAGAGGGACACGGTTTTTCCTGTCTTTTGCAGATTTTGTATCTCTTTGTATCACGATTGAGGTCCATGATTTCCTGTCGTGACGGTGTCGTTAAGTCACGAATAAATGCAGATTCATGAACACGAGCATATTTGCTGCTGAATTTAAGTCGCGATGCGGTTACGAGTTTTTGTTTACTTATGTATCAAGACCTTATAATAACGGGCTAAGATTGTTTACGTGTTTTTGTGTGTGTGTGTCCGTCTGTCACGAAATTCGTAGAGCGTGTTCCAGCCACCGTCCTGAGCCCAAATTTTGCACAGTGCACGCTACCAGCGTGAAAGTCCAATGTACAAAATCACGAGCGGATCCGCTGAGTGGATCCCTCAGAAATTGCGCGCCAAACGGATCCATCTGGCTTCTATCCCGCAAAATGAGGTCCGTATCACCACTTTTTGCAGAGTCGTGGATCTGTTTGGTAAGCAAGTGTGCAAGCGATAGACTTTAGTTTGAAAAAGTGGGCAAACGTTTACTACAGGGTGTCCCAAAAGTATGTATCGAACGTTTGATCGTTAATATCTCTCTTCCCAAGAAGTCTTTTGCCTTGCTTTAGGTACCGTTTTGTAGAGCTGGCTTCAACTTAGATTTGCATTATAGAACGAATCACCCATCTCTCTTCATTACTGTAGGATTACGGTAGAAACTTCAAAGAGGGTTTTAAGCAATGAAAGGCCATATTTTGCCCCAGAAAGGCAACAAAACAGCCTGAAAACTTTTACACCAGGCTAATTAGAGTTGCTGATTATAACTGTAAAGTTCCCAATTTATTATGATGCTTCATTGAAGAGTTATGCCAGGTAAGAGGTAGCGGCCATTTTTTCAATGTTCCTAAAAAGTGCTTTTACACCAATTAGAAGGCTTTGTACTCTTGTGAATAGTTGAGTATTGAACTCAGCGCCTATAAAAACCCCAATACACAAGTTTTCACCTTTTTTTGAAAAATTTTGAAACGCCAGCTTTTTCCACTTTGACACCATATGCTTCAAGTTTCTACCGTAATCCTACAGTATTGAAGAGAGTTGTGTGATTCGTTCTATAACACAAATCTAAGTTGAAGCCAGCTCTACAAAACGGAACCTAAAGCAAGGCAAAAGACTTCTTGGGAAGAGAGATATTAACGATCAAACGTTCGATACATACTTTTGGGACACCCTGTATATGACGAAAACGGCGCCAAAAAGAATTGGTTGCGTAAATGGTCAATTTGCCAAGGTTCTAGCCAAGCATTTGAGAAGATTTTTGCACAGAGATGTAGCTCACGGTGAGGATTGCCTTTCTGGCGACTACCAAGCTATGACAAATTCAAAAACCTATTCAAATTTGCCTTTGTCTTCCTGCGAAAAGTTTAATCCACGCGAAATCACCGATCTAACGTGTAAAAGCTTTCTAAATGAGTAGTTGTTTACATTTTATTCGTGGTAGCTGGCATAGCGCTGTGAGTTCCAGTGCCACGATTTTACGAGAATGAGTAAGGCATATAGATGGTAGAGCCAGTGCGAGCCTCTGCGAGGCAGAGGTGGCGCACTGTTTTTCAAAAACCAGGAAGGCAGAAGTAATAGACTAATGCTAACCTTTGCGAAGGGGGTTCCACTCAAAATATGTTTTGGGAGCACAAGCAGAGATTGAAAACTTACAACTTAGAAATGGTCAGAAAACCTGCTTTCGTTTGGAAACTACGCCAAATATAGAAGTGATTATTAAGGTTCTACTTAAGCTGTTAGAAACTTTTTTCAAAACAAGGCTCAGGTTCAAAACGCTACAAATGTACGTTAATAATTTTCAAATTAAAAAAATCAAATAATAGAATTTTTACTCCAGGAATCACTTATCGTCAGTACACAAGATTTTTTGCCATTTAAAGTGAGCACACGGGAGCCTATGAGCTGTACTAAACCGGAATTCTCATACACAAGGTGCAAAGTATGTTATAGAAGTTTAGACTTTCATACACACGTTTGCAGGGGTTCCTCATATCAAAAGCAATGAGTGCAAGCTTACTGCCAGCATTAGCAAGCTAAGATGTTGCGAAAAGTTTCGTTGTTCGAAGATGTTACTGCTGAAGACATTTCCACATGTGATCAAGTGATAAAGAAGCTTGCGAGACTTTTCGAAATCCCCGTACTCAGGACACAAACAGCAAATATTTGCCAAAATGGCTTATGTCAGGTTGAAGTGAAAAAAATAGTGGGAAAGCCCTAAATCAGATTTTTTACGAAATGTGTCTTCACTATCATTCTGGAGTAGTTAGTTTGCATCTGATAGTGAATGTTATGGACGTAGCATGATTGGCACCTGTCAAACGCTTTGCTCATATTTTTGCGATGTACTAAGCAGATCTTTTGTAATTTCGTGAATGAGCTACGTAGTCAATTACCAAATTTATTTCGAAGAAATATATGTCAGTTAGTTACTCAAGAAGAATAAACTTCTTGAATTTAGTAATTTTGTCCGAATCATCAACAAAGTAATCAGTACAGAATTTATGTTTTCAAAAAAGAGCTATGCAAGTGAAACTCAGAAGGTTAAATTATATATTTGCACTTTCTGCTGATAGCGCATCCATGGGTAACTTATCCGAACAAATTTATATGGAGCGTCTCAACTTTGTCAATTTAAAGAGGTATTCCTCTGAAATTTCATAATGGGGTTTGTCAGAACTTCTTAATACATACTACAAACCCAAGTCTGAGAGTCCGGCGAAGCCGGACGATCAGACTGGTACTATACATAAGTGCATTGCTAGCGTTGGATCTGAAGACTTCTGGCGAATTGCCAGATCGCGTCACGAATAAAATCGCATGCAGTATGCCCGGCCTTTTAGTTAACTCAAAAAATGAAAATCTTTAACGCTTCAGGGCGCTTTCAAGCGCTTTTTGGCGCTTTCAAACGAAGTCTGAGGGCCAAGGGCACAGAATGGCAGGCATCCCAGTTTTGGGGTCAAAGGGGACTTCGTAAAAATTTGTGGAGCCATGGGAGACTTCGTTTTCAAAAGTCCTCCAAACCAACGCGTGCCGGGCCCTGGTCCTATCCGTTGCCTGAGTATATATAAAGCTGAATGTCTGTTTGTCTGTATGTATGTCTGTCTGTCTGTCTGTGTGTACGTATGTTCCGAATAGAAAATTCCATTTCTGAACCGATCCGGACCAAACTTGGCACATATACAGTTCGGGCCCCGGCGATTGTCAAAGGCGGGTGTACTTTTCGTCATCGATCGATATCGATTTCATCGATTTTTTGCAAAATTTGAGCTACGGGGCTGGGAGTTGGTACAGGGGGGTAATCGAGCATGCTGATTACGAATAAAATAATGACAGGCTGGGCGGAGCCGGGTAAGCCATCTATATGGTATAATTACTTGTCCAGAATGAAATCCAGCAACTCGAGTTACATTCAGATCGCAAAATGCTTTCAGTGAATTAATGGAAGAGTATATGCGAATCGATTTTTAACAAACAATTAATTAGGTATGAAACTGCTTGTATACTTACTTATAGCAGGAAGCTTCAGCCGCTTATTTCCCACCAGAATTTTCACACATTCGGCCGCCCTACAACTGACAAATCTATACAGAGATTACACAACAAATTCATACTCTATGTGAAACCTAAATTCATGAACATACTTCCGTTCATGGTCGTCAGTAGTTTCGTTTATAAAATCCTCTAATGTCTGCTAAAAAAGTACCCATTATATGTATTGGGGTTGATGCAAAAATAATGGCCGATTTTCTAAACCTTTTTTCAAGGCAACTTTTTCGCACCAAAATATCTTCTTTAGATTATATTCAGCATACTTTCGAAAAGCTGTTCTCATGCTCTTAAAGGCGGTTGAAGGGGGGCTTCTGTCCTCATCTATATAAAGTTACTGATCTTCAAATAACTGCATTCAAATTCAGAATTATTGTATCAAATTCAGAATTATTGTATCCACTTTTATGGCCAGTATGAATGACGCTTTTTCGGAAATTAGCTGTTATATGTAGTAGAAATTGCCTACATTATGCATGCTTCATTGTATATTTTGAGGTTATCTAAACTGAGATATAGGCGCCTCAACATGGGTAGCCGTTGCATAATCTTAGCCTTACATAACCCATAAGTTTCTTTTGAAAATTCAATCGCCAAAGCTTTGCTCAACTCTTCAAGCGTAATAGTAGGGCATTAACAGCAGTTTTTGCAAAAACATCCAGCTGTTTAGAATGCAGAAAATTGGAAAATTTTATAATCGGGGCTATGAGGCATAGTGAAAAAATGTTTAAAAACTGACAAATTTGAATTTTGATTTTTTTCCTTTCTGCAAACTATTTTCTCCAAACCCTTTTAATCGAATTTTGTACTAACAGCTTGCGGCTACAAAATAGGCCACTTATCTAACAAACTTTGAAGAAAGTTATAATTCGTCAAAGACGAGGTTTCAGGAAAAAAATTTTTTGTTCGACAATCCATATTTTTGTGCCCGTTTATGATATTGGTGCAGGTAAATGTGCGCTGTACTGGAAATGGTTTGCTGCTTCTGATGGCATCCAGAAATGTTGTTTTTTCAAAAATTTATAGCACGTTAAAATAGAAATTCGCAAAACGGCCATTATTTTTGCATTAACCTAATGGAAGCAAGGCTCCTCACCTCAATCCAGTCTTCTTCATGCAAAAACTCCTGTCTTCTTCTGCATCTCAATTCTTCATGTATCATATTACGTAATGGTGTAGCTCGACATAGATCGCTCTGCATAAAAAAGATGTTGAACTTTTATGAGAAGATTCACTAGATAAAGGTCTTACATTCCCTTGCGGTGGTTCCTGCAAGTACTCGATCGACACATTAACCAGACTAGGAATATCACACTTAAATTTTACCGGATATGTAAACAGATAGACTGCTTGATAATTTTCACCGTCTTCTACCGCCTGATAAACAGAAGTTGAGGATATCATTTGCCAGCCCAATAATAAAATTATTATGACTGAGAGGAGCTTGACGATAAAGCTGATCACAAGCTTGTGATAAACTCATATTTGTTGCAAACAAAGGCAGCGCCCAAGATATGGTCATGCTAGATGTTTCTGCCTCTTCTTTCACTGTCACGCTGAATCCATTTACTTGTTCGAAAAACGAACGCAAAAAGTGGCAGTGAGAAATTTCCGGTCCTCTATGGAGAGACTTAGGCTAGAGCTGAAGATAAAACCATGTCTCTCTAATTTTGTACCGTGTGCTCTCTGTGCAGTCAGTACAACTATTTGCGCAAGATTTCGTGACTAGCGAGATTTTCGGGATTTCCAGGATCCTTTAGACTCGCGTGATTAGCCGGATTTGCAGTGCTGGTGGGATTTGAGCGTTTGCGGATCGCCACAATTTCCAGAAGTTGGTTAGTTGGCATACCTACTCAGCCCGGCCCTGTCAACCATTATGTTAAAGGCAGCGTCCAGGCAAATTTGGACATATGTGGATCTCAAATGGATAGTAATTTCGGGGTCTTAACTAAGCCATCGCCCAATCGGCAGCTCAGGTAGTGTTTTAACGGCTGAGATATACGCCTCTAAACATGCGAAAGGAGGAAAAGGGTCCCTTTCAAGTGAAGCGGTTTCGGCTATTTCCAATTCAAAAAAATGAAGGGGTAATGAGCCTTGAGGTGAATGCTGACGTAAGCTTACATGCCGAGCAGGAAGGGTGAAAAGAAGGGAAATAAATAGTACAGGGGTTGATGTAAATAATATCACAATGCTGTGCTTTGGCTTTTGAAGGTCAAGGTCAGAATTTTTTGATTCACGAAAGCTTTATGCCCCATCACTCAGTTAATCGTCGGGAGCACTCAACCATGCGATTTATGAGCAAGCGGGCACCAGAAAAATAGTTCGCTGATTTCTTGCGGGCCGCTTGCAAATATTCAGAAGAATGTTGGCCAGATTTTAGACGAATTCTCGGAGAACAATTGCGATCTTCTCATAGATTACTTGCGGCGCTGTGACAGCATCTTCGCGGACTTTCCGCGAAAATGTGCAGGATTGTTGAGGGCCGCACGGTCCTGTGTGAAGGACCGCACTGTCCATAGACACCTTCCGCTAAAGGAAAGTACCCCAAATTCGGGTAATTACACCATCGGTGACACCGCTTTCATGTAGAGTACTAGCTTTGCTCGGCGTACGCCTGAAACTGCGTAATAAGAGTCAGAGCGCCAGCTGAAAATTTGACCAGCGCTCGCTGAAAGAAATAATCTGACGACCGCTTGCAGAAAATTCCGTATTGCTTCCCGCTGGCAAAACATACGATAGCAAAGGGAGTACCGTTTGCTAAAGATTTGGTCACGCCTCGAAATTCTGCTGACCGCCTGCTCAGATAACCGCCGGGAGCAGGCGGCCATGCGAATTTTGAGCAAGCGCGCACCGGAAAAATAGTTCATTGATTTTTTGCGGCCCGCTTGCAGAAATTTGCAAGAAAGTTGGCGAAATTAAAGACGAATGCTTGAAGAACAATGGCGGTTTCCTTGCAGATTAGCTGCGGCGCAGTGGCCGCATTCTCGCGGGCTTTCCGCGAGAATATGCAAAAATTTCGAGGGCAGCACGGTCCTTTGTGGAGGACCGCGCAACCCCCAGGTACTTTCCGCTGAAAGAAAGTACCTCAAACTTGAGTAATTAAACCAACGGTGACACCTCTGCCACACAGAGTCTAACCTGCGCTCGACGTACGCCCAAAAATGCCTAAAAAGAGTCCGAGCGCTTGCTGAAAGTTTGGCCAGCGCTCGCTGAAAGAAATTATTTGCCAAGCGCTTGCAAAAAATGCTGTAATGCTGCCCGCTGGCAGAATATGCGACCGTAAAGGAAGTGCCGCCCGCTGAAGGTTTGGCCACGCCCCAAAATCCTGCTGACCGCCTGCAGAAAAGCGCGAGTTTGCGGACCGCCTGCCCCCGGCGATTATCTGAGTGCAAGGAAGCGCGATTTGCGGACCGCCTGCCCCCGGCGATTGTCTGAGCAGTCGGCATACCATACGAAAGTTTAGAACACATACTCAGACAATCGCCGGGGGCAGGCGGTCCTCAATCTCGCGCTTTTCTGCAAGCGGTCAGCAGAATTTTGGGGCGTGGCCAAACCTTCAGCGAGTGGTAATTCTTTTACTATCAAATGTTCTGCCTTCTGCAGGCGCTCGTCAAATAAAAAAAAACTCAAAACTTCTCTTTCAACAAACGCTTGCCGAAATTTCAGCAGGCGCTCGGACTCTTTTTAAGCAGTTTCGGGCGTACGCCGAGCAAAGGTGAGACTCTGGGTAGCAGAGGTGTCACCGTTAGTTTAAATACTCAAATGTGAGGTACTTTCTCTCAGCGGAAAATACGCGCCGCACCTAATCTATAAGGAAACTGCAATTAATTTCCAAGCATTCGTCTAAAATATCGCTAAAATTCTTCCAAATATCTGCAAGCGGACCGCAAAAAATCAGCGAACTATTTTACCGGTGCCCGCCCGCCCATAAATTGCGTGGCCGCCAGCCCCGGCGATTATCTGAGTAGAGTCGACGTAAGCCGCCTCTTTTCCAGCTCCCCTTTAAATTCAGATATAAGAAATTTTATCTAGTTGCGACATCAGCTGATTCTGAGATCACTTTGCGCTCCATTTCTGAAAGGGAGAGTGAAGCTATAAAAATGAGACGGTCTACGTTCACTGGCAAAGTCTTGCTCTGTAACATAGCTACACATTTAGGCATCTTCGTCCACTCTTTGCGTAGAAATTTATTTACATAAACACATATTCTCAGGTTAAATGCCATGTATTTCCAAGTAGAGGGGCGCTAGCAAAAACAGACAGTCTACATTAAATCTCCGCTTTGTAAGTTTTTAATGGTGTATAGAATGTTGAAGAAAAAACTTCTGCATTTCAAAAATGGGGGAAAGGGGTGGAGGGGGGGGGAGAGATATTTACTATCAGCTTGCACCACCCCGCCACTTCAATGGGTTAAATTTTGTGGGTCGCCGGAGCACTTTTTTATAGTGGGAAAGCATTATGCACTAACAGTTTATATACCATGTTGCTAAACGCACGAGGAATCGACGTAGACCATCTATTTTTTTTCTAGCTATTCTGCGGAGCGTGTGATGACTTATCTAGCTACGTTATCAGGTGGTTTTCTGAATTATTTGTGCTTCATTCTGACGGAAAAGGTATTTTTTGAAGCTTCTAGTGTGAATGAAAAGCTCTAAAATTAAAAAAATCTGACTGCTTTCTTATTTTCTATCATGCTCTTCAATAAAAGGAAAAATACTTTGACTCTTGTCAATAAACATGCACCTGGTACCTTCATACCGCGCCGGCAGCCGCCGCTGGTAGCCCGTAGCAGCCGCCAGCAACCCGTAGCCGCCGCTGGCGCTTTTGTCAGAACGCAAATCATTAAATTCTTAGTACCTTGCGTGCGCCTGCCCATACTTCCCATCTTCCACGCCGATGTGATATGAATGGAGCAGAACATACCTAAAAAATTAACAAATAGCAACCTGCAGAAACTGGACACATCCAAAGTCAGAAGAAATCGCATTGCGAAGAAACTTTGGCGAAATGTGGTTCAATTGCGAAAGAGAAACTGAGCATCAATAGGATAACTAATCTACGGCAACAAGATGATAACAACAATGGACACAAGTATGATGATATATGAGATCAAATTGCGGCAACAGGAGGGAAAAAGCGTGGAGGATGAAGAGCGTGGGCGGTCGCACTTAAAATAGTGAGAATTTGATGATTCTGCGCTTGTATGACAAAAGCGGCCAGCGGCGTCTACGCGCTGCTGGTAGCTGCTACGGGCTGCTACGGGCTGCTAGCGGCGGCTGCCGGGGATGTATGAAGGTACCCTAACCTCTGACAGAAGGTAAGCCAATGCACATTATCTGGTGCTTTTTGAATACTTACACAGCACTGAACTGGAGTTAAAGTTGAAAGCCGAAGAAATCACGCCCCTTGACCGTCCCCGTTAACAGACACGTTCGGTTTCGCCATGGACACCCTGTTGGCCGCGCCAGGGGTTCTGTAGCAAACGGTGCAACGACTGCGAAATCTGTTTGTTGTCAATTTTTGCTGCACTTTTAAGGGTGCGCAAATGGCTGCAACCCTTTTTATTGCGACCACTGATATCTTATATATAAAGCTGAATGTCTGTTTGTCTGTATGTCTGTCTGTCTGTCTGTCTGTGTGTACGTATGTTCCGAATAGAAAATTCCATTTCTGAACCGATCCGGACCAAACTTGGCACACATACACTACGGGCCCCGGCGGGTGTCATAGGCTACTTTTCGTCATCGATCGATATCGATTTTATCGATTTTTATCGATTTTTTTGCTGAGTTCACCTACGGGGCTGGGAGTTGGCACAGGGGGGTAATCGAGCATGGGGATTCCGAATACAATATTGGTTTTCAGGATTATCGATTACTTTTATCGATTTTATCGATTTTTTTGCAAATTTTGAGCTACGGGGCTGGGAGTTCGCACAGGGGGGTAATCGAGCATGGGGATTCCGAATACAATATTGGTTTTCAGGATTATCGATTACTTTTATCGATTTTATCGATTTTTTTGCAAAGTTTGAGCTACGGGGCTGGGAGTTCGCACAGGGGGGTAATCGAGCATGGGGATTCCGAATACAATATTGGTTTTCAGGATTATCGATTACTTTTATCGATTTTATCGATTTTTTGCAAAGTTTGAGCTAGGGGGCTGGGAGTTGGCACAGGGGGGTAAACGAGCATGCTGATCACCCCCAAGGGGGGTGATCAGCATGCTCGATTACACTCCTGTGCCAAATTCCAGCCCCCTAGCTCGAATTTTCAAAAAATCGATAAAATCGAAAAAGTAATGGACGATCCTGAAAACTAATATTGTTTTCGTAATCTGCATGCTCGATTACCCCCCTGTGCAAACTCCCAGCCCCGCAGGTCAAACTTTACAAAAAAAATCGATAAAATCGATAAAAGTAATGGACGATCCTGAAAACTAATATTGTGTTCGTAATCAGCATGCTCGATTACCCCCCTGTGCGAACTCCCAGCCCCGTAGCTCAAACTTTACAAAAAAAAATCGATAAAATCGATAAAAGTAATGGACGATCCTGAAAACTAATGTTGTATTCGGAATCCCCATGCTCACTTCCCCCCCTGTGCCAACTCCTAGCCCTGTAGGTGAACTCTGCAAAAAAATCGATAAAAATCGGTAAAATCGACATCGATCGATAACGAAAAGTGGACTGTGACACTTGCCGGGGCCCGAAGTGTATGTGTGCCAAGTTTGGTCCGGATACGGCGGAGCCGGGTAAGCCAGCTAGTTGTTCATAAATGAATGAACGCACAGCCCTGCATGTCAGATCAGGCTCATGATGATGATCGCATCCAAATTGAGTTCGGATCCGATCGGGACACAGGCAGCACACTGAGCGGAAAAGGGCCGAATTCAATCAGGGTGCGATCTGGATTGTGAGCAGACATGTCATCATCCTGTCGCGCTGGTTCAATAATAACGTAGATAACCGATCGCAAGAATGGGAGGTGCCTGTACATGGCAAATTATGTAAGGAAATGATGCAGGGATAGTTCTTTGTATTACGCCGAGATTATGGTTCTCTGTTCTGCTCCTGAAGGTTTACTGTTTGAGATAAAAACTCACGCCTGTAGGAAGTGTTTTAACGGTTTCCCATGGGACGTACTCTTCAGTAGCGCAAACTGACACCAGTTGGATGAAAAAGAATATTGTCCACCGAAACATGACCGGTTGATGTGGCATTTCACAAATGATTGAGAACTGCTCACCGAGAATCGTCGATAACAACCTAGTTTGAATCTGATACTCGGGCAAACAAGCATTATGTTCTGTAGCAAGACGGTCAGACAGTCGAAGATATACCCCCGGCGGGCAAATGGCGCGAGTCTGCCACTTCGCGCTCTAAAGCGCTCCGGAGCCTGCCATTTCACGCATTTTGCTGCTCCGGGGCTCTCTCAAACTGGCGCACCTCCGGAGCAGAGATTTGTGCGTCTCGGAGAGGGGTCCCATTAGCCTGCTTATGACATCACCATGACGTCACGGACGAATGGGCCCCTCTCCGAGACGCACAAATCTCTGCTCCGGAGGTGCGCCAGTTCTGGGAGAGCCCCGGAGCAGCAAAATGCGTGAAATGGCAGGGCTCCGGAGCGTCCAGAGCGCGAAGTGGCAGACTCGCGCCATTTCCCCGCCGGAGGTATCCCCTCGACTGTCTGAAGGGGTGAGGGGGGGGGGGAGGCGGTGAGCGGTTTCGTATGAGAAGCTATTCCGGAGTACGTTGCATGCCTTCAAGCTTTTAGAATACATAGAAGAAGTTCGTCTCAAGCATCCATTCGAGAGAGTTCAACTTCGACGTTAGCCTAATCTTCTACGCTGCTGCGTCCTCTGCATCATTACTGCGCTATGGACGAGCGCCGACACTAAATAATGGAAATTCAAATTTTTTAAAGTTACAAAACTACCAAATGTAGTTGCAACTACATATTAGGGTGTCTTCGGCTATTCATTGAGTTGCTCCTTGCGTATTAAATTCTATGCAAGGGAAAGAGAATCGTTGATTTGTCCCAAACATTTTTCACACCTTGACATTTTTTCCACACCTTGCGACATGCCGATCGTTGCCATTCCCACTCGATATCATGCAGGTTGCACCATAAATACCGGTGTGTACTTCTTTCGGTGCCGAAGGGATACAAGACGGGCTTCACGGTTTTCACGCACTTGTATCATGTAATGCAAGTTTAAAAAATATACCTGCTTTATCCTTTGGATCTCAAAACCATCTTGTCAGCTACAATGCACTGTATTAGGGCCAGGCATACATCACGCGGTTTATCGCTTCACGTTTCACTTTTCAAAATTTCGGACTGGAAAAGTATCACAACCGAAACGCAAGTTGATCGGCATGGAATGATGTTGTAACAGTTGTCTCGTCGCGATTCAGTCGCGACGACCAAATCGCGTGAAGTCTGTCCGGGGCCTAACAAGACAACTGCTACGAGTCCATTGCATGTCGATCAACTTGAAATTTTGGTTGTGGCGTTCTCCGACTGGACTAATGGCGAATAATGTCACAAACGAAATGCAAAATGATTGGCATGCAACGAACTCCGGACAGTTGTCTGTTGGGAGAATCGCGAGGCGTTAAAATCGCTTCGTGTATGCCCGGCCCTGTACGCAAGCACAACTTTACTGCTTCATAGAATATCTGTTTTGTAATCTATCCTCTTGTCACAGTGTTGTTACAGGTACGCATGATTTTGCGAAAAAATCATATTTTGCAGGAAAGCTTTCTTTTTACAAAATGCGTCTGGGACTATGCGATAGTACATAGCGAACTCCAGAACTTGATGGTAGTGTACGGGCAGGGTAGGTGGTTTTGGAATTACAGTGTCATGCGAAATTGGGCCCGCTTGGACACGTCATTAAATGCTCAGAATCTCAATTATTCCCTGTAACATTGGTCTCTCATAGCGGTAAATTAGCTAGGCATTCTTAGCAGCTCCTTCAAATTCTGGCAGCCCTTTTTAATCGTATTATCTTGGGAAAATCCCTTCCATCATATGGGAAAAAGTTCTGAAAAGCTTGCTTGCTGTTCATGAAGAAGCATGGAATGTCAGTCTTTATTGCAGGGCCGTATCCTATCAGACAGTCGACGGCATACCTCCGGAGCAGAAATGGCAGAGCCGCGGGGTTTCCTCAGCGGGGGTTTGCCACTCGTGCTCCGGAGCCCCCCCCCCCATTTTGTGCCCCGGAGACCTCCCATTTGCGCTCCGAAGACCTCCCATTTTGTGCTCCGGAGACCTCCCATTTTGTGCTCCGGAGCCCTTCCATTTTCTGCTCTGGATGTCCCCCGCGGCTACTGTAACTAGCCCTAATCAAGCTCCAAACCCCAATTGTGCCCCTAAACCTCACCCAAATCAGCTCTAGACCAGGGTCGAGCAAACGGTGTGGCATATGACCGCCGGGTACGCCCCCCCCCCTCTGGGGGTAGGAATTCAACATGAGCCTCCATCCCGTTCTCTACCCCCTCCCCCTCACCCCCAGTGTTTGTAGATAGAAGATAGAAGAATGAAGAGACAATACATTTATTTTAAATTGAATGTAAAACAATTTACTTTAATCAACGAATTGCAAATGCACTTCATTTCGACATCCAACCTGCTGCTTCCTCTGGATACTTTCCGTAGGTTTCGTACATGCGCTGTTAGCAGATGGCTAAATATGCAGAAGCCAAGAGAGCAAAACATGCATAGAACATACGAACATAGAGTGTTGTCCCAAAAACTCACATCAACCATGACACAGACTAATCAGTGTATGTCAGTTGACTAAAAACTGAAAAGAAAACTAGTCGCTTAGAGATAAACGATGCGAAGTTCACCTAGTTACACCCATTATTGCTAATCTGTTCTTTGGCACCAGTCTGATTGCAGGTTGAACATCTTAGCCGGAAAGACCACCAACAAACAGCACACCTCCAAACACAGAATAACAAATGAAAGACAAGAGCAAGTCTTCGCTAAAGACTAAAATGCTAAGCTTGCATTTGAATAAAAGTGATTTCATAGTAAAACTTTTCTTGGGAATATCCATCGGTGGCAAGCGTTATGGAACAAAGCTACTCCGCATTTTCATATGGTATATCCTGGGGGCTATTTGCGTTGCGTCGCCTTTGATTGCAGCCAGAAGGGGTGTATACCAGCATGAACGATAGCTGGCGATAAGCATATTGTACTGCAGCTTGTCAATATGCCGCACATAAAGTCTTGAAACTATATGTTGTAGACTGGATAGAAAATGTTGTCGAACAGTAAAAATTAAAGCGTGCGAAGCCTCCGGCGTTTTTTCCATTTTATAGATATCATCATAGCGTAAATATGAAATTTGGAAAAGATTTGATCTAAGCAGCGCATATGGCTGGCACAACCTATCGTTCATGTTGGCTGTCCCCCGCCAGAAGTAGCGCTGCTCCCGCCAGCGAACTGAGCGATTCCTTGATGCTAAGCTCTGAGATGTTCAGATTGTATAAATGCAACAACGACAGAAATTAAGAAAGTGAGTGAATTTCAGGGATGAATCAGAGGGTCAATCTGGGATGAATCAAAGACTGAATTTGAGTCAAAGGCATTCAAGAGAAGTGGCACACGAGAATTCATAGAGAGAAGGACAGATAATTTCTGTTGATTCCTCTAACAAAAAACCAATTTTTTCTTCTTTTATTTTCTTGGACTGTGCTCTACAGACTCTTCTTCTTCATGTTCTATCCCTGATTCTTGATTGTTTATCTTCCACGTTTTGTTCATTTCATCAATGGAGAACATGGAGAATGGCTCAATCCGCTGGGTAGCTAGCTCCCTTGGGCTGGTCCTCAGAATATACCACTGGCGATTGCGGCGTAGCTTTGCTACATAACGCCACGCCATATCCATCGTAGGAGGACAGAAATAGATAGATATCAACAACTGATGTCTTTGAGCACATTTTTTACTGCTTCAGTAACAGAACTCGAAAATCATCAAATGCTAGTAAAAAGCCTTTTTCTCCTAAACCACGAGCATAGTGCAACTGCACAAATTCCCAACATATTTACCTATTATTGTGCAGCATACTTCAAACTAAAAGTATAGCCAAAAATTCAATCAAATTTATTCTCAAGCTAAAATATATACTCGAAAAGGAAAAGAAGAAAATTAAAAAGATCTCTAGCCAGCGTTTGTAGAGAGCTAAGTAAAGAAAAAAATAAACTACCTCTGCAAAACATTCGAGTGAACGCGTAAGTGTTCTAGGAGATGTCACGATATCGAATGCAGCACTGACTCCTGTACGAGATACGTCCTTCATACGCGTTATCAAATACTCATCGAATTCTGTAACAGAGAATTGGAGTTTTTGCACAGCAGTTTCGTGACGCCAGGGACAGCTGCAGAAATTCAACTAATCATTTCTGTTTGTAGAAAGTCTTATCTTTTATTAGCATACTTCCGTAATCTCTACAAAGGAGAACAGATCAGGATTTGGTGGAAACTGAATGAACTCTTTGTAATAGATCTCCAAAAATAAAAGAGAAATTATGAGACAATTTTTCAGCCAATAATCTGATGTTTTCCTTTTGTATAAAATCGCCTGAGTCTGTGTAAGATCAGCACATCAATGCATGGAAGAAGAATGGCAGAACGTATGCGGCAGATATGGATGCAATGGAAACTGGATTTATTGCTTTGTGATACTCTGCAAATGCAACTGCCGAAGTGCTTGGAAAGTACATCATCGAGCTTGATCGCCAAATTTAGATTTTAATTTGTCCAATAATGTGCTTCTGTGGATAATGTTGTATTGTTTCTGTATTGTTTCTGTATTCGGCTGAGGGCTTGCTATTGTTTTTGCCTGTATAAATAATCCTGCCGTTTGGCCATGACCGGATCGGACGGCGGATCTATGTCTTAGAAGTTTCATTTTCTTTCTCTTTGTAATTCTAATGCCTTCTCTCTCTGAGGCCCTATAAGGGTCTCTTTCTCCATAGTCTCTTTTCTTATGTAATGTTTCTATCGTAGTAGCAATTCCATAATTTTCGAAGTAGTATGTCGCATTTTGTAACTTTTGAGCAGTAAATTATTTAAATTATAAGTGTTTTGTGAATTCCTTGAATGAAGTCGGAGCCGGAAGGTTCAGCCGAGGCCCCTTTAGTACCGGACTCGCGTGCTGCGGGACTGAAAAAAAGGGGCGCGGCTGACATGGAGGTTCCG